AACAAAACAAAACAAAGCAAATCAGAGCAGAGCAGAGCAGAGCAGAGCAGAGCAGAGCAGAGCAGAGCAAAACAAAAACAAAAATAAATAAAAAATAAAAAACCAAAGAGAAAGCAACAGCAAACAAAAACAAACCGCATTTTTATTCTGAGAGAGATCTACATTCGTTAGATCTGGATAGATTGCAGCTGGCCAGTCCCTTTCTGTAAAAGAAAAAGAAATATACACAYAAGATATAAGCATCAAAATGTTGATTCAAACATCTCGTAGGATTAGTACTCCCACCTTCTTCAATTATCTGCTGATGAATTCTTTCCAACTCCGTCCTTAGTTGTACAAGACTTGGTCTGTCCTCTTTCTCATAAATAAGACACATTTCAATTAACTCACAAACGTCTCTTGGGATGCACTCTTCCATTCGTAGCTTACCACGGCTGGTTACCTGTTAATAAGTAAGAGATAATTTCGAGAACGGAGGCAAGAAGCCAAATACATCTCACAGACCGGACGTTCGAGATAATAAATTGATTAATTTATCAGTTGAGAAGGTTTTCTATCAAATGTTTACCTATGTGACTTAAAAATAACAAAAAACAACAATGAGGGTTTTATGTGATGATACTAGATTGTCATCGGGAGATGGAAGCTGTAAAAATAAATGGAAAGTCCCACTTAATGGTTAGTTTACCAACCAGAAGATTTATCCGTTTGTTTAAACTCAAATCCTGCATGAAGTACCACAAATATATTACAGTAGGGGCGTATGGCGTAATATTAAGGTTCAATGAACGATGCAGGGTTGTGAGATGGATAAGATAAGCGAATGATCACAAAAATGGACTTACGTGACTCCGGATTTGATTGGCTTGATCATTGCTGTATTGATTGTATGGCGATACGCCATAGGTGTGCATCTCAAACAACATAATCCCAACTGCCCAGGAAACAGAATTTTCTGAGAATAGGCCATTTTCCAAACACTCTGGGGCTGCATGTCGGATTGCCGTTTTATCATGAATCGACACATACTCATAATTGCCACTTTGCTGCAAGCATAAAATATATGTAAAGAAAGATGAAACAGTAGGAACTTGTGGATAAATTGAATCACCGCAAAAGGCTTTTTGAATCTGACGTTTCGGACGTTAGTACTTCGTCGGAGTAAGTCAAAAAAAGATGTATTAATTGGTCCAATTGAACTTTTCGTCTTGGGAGTAATTTTTTCCTTAATTCAGACCAGGTGTCATTCTTTTGACAATATGATTCTTCGTTTGAGTTGTATCCATATTAATGTGTTTTCTCATGCACAACCGTTAAACAAAGAAATGTTACTCTGGGGACTGACACGTGGTCTGAAATAGGAAAACATTACGCGGAAGGTGAGGATCAAAGAATCTTAATTGATTGTTAAAAGCCAGACGAAAATCAAATCCCAAAAAGAAACTCCATTAATCTTTTTGTAGTCGAAGCCAAGAAAGTGTGCTAAAATATTTTACCGAATGGAAAAATCAAAGATGAAAATAAGATCCAATAGCTTTCGGGCATTGTTCTTATTCTATGAAATCCCCTATTCGCATGCTGTCCTATGTAGAATCCAATGGAAGCCATATTACATAAACCTGTTAGGTTTGATGAGCTCGTCATAAAAAAAAAATTTTTTTTTTCAAATAAGATTAATTATCAATACCTTCCTTATACTAGTTCCTAGTCCTTCACTCGTTTCTAAGGTGGATTACTTAAGATCCAATGAATCTAACATACATAGCGTAAAGTAATCTGTACTCATCTTTCTATTTTTAAGTAGATTCAACCAGCACAGGGAAAGTGCTGGCCATTAAAAGGTTTGTCTTGCCGTTTTAAAGGGCAGAACTAGCCCTCTGGGACGGATAACGGTACTTTTTATGTTCGTGTCCGATAGTTCTCGAGTTATACTATTAAAAAACTTATCAATAATTAATAAGGAAACACAATAGAAAYCATGACCATGAAGGAGGTTTTATATCTGATATAGATTCGTCTTCATTTGCACAAACTTTAACTCGGATTTTCTCTATCAAACTTGGTTCATTTCGTAAAGAATTCAGTACAATATGAGAACATACATCATGATTTTTTTAAGCCGTTTAATAAACTCGCAGATCATGTTTTATCGGGTCTAWAGCCGCTTGGCTGCTCCTCGTGCTTTATATGCGATAAAACACTCCTTCTCGTTTTTTAAAAAGTACTTCATACATTACTACCAATTCATACAAAAAGTTCAATAAAAGTTATTTTTTTAGGATTTCCTTTACATCTAAAACTTTGATTTGGGCTAGAAACTATATATATATACTTGTCAGTTGTGGTATGAATAATACCTGTTTTATCATTTCTCTTGCATAATGGAATCCAGTTAATTTACAGACGTTGTCATGGGAAACTAAGAAGTTTGCGGCCATGACGGCAAGATGCACAAGATGTTGTTCATTGAGGTAGATTACAGCATCCATGATTCCAAACATCATTTCTATT